GCCTGTTGGAAACCAAGGAGAGGTGAGTGGTCATCTTCCACAAAACCAGTCCCTGTACCAAAACGGTTGAGGATGGCTGCTTTAGATACATACCCAGAGGTAGAAATGCTAGATCATGTAGTAGTTCTATTTTTAGTTATGTGAGAAAGCTCCATAGTGGCTTTATCAGCTTACCTACCCAACAACAGTGTGCATGTGTTCCTTTCTCCACATCCTTGTCACCACTTATTTTGTCTGATTTTAAAGATCAGATTTGCAAGGAGGTCTTTCCTGACCTCAGAGAATAGGTCAGATTCTCTTGTTCTCTCCTCATATAACACCCTCTAGCTTTCTGTCAAAACACTCATAATACCTATAACCTAACCAACAATTGGCATTGTGGATGGACCATTTCTAGCTTTGTTCATACTGAATCTCAAGTGCTTAGCCCATATAACAGGGATTTGAGAATCTTTGTGGAAGTGAGGAAGATGCAGAGGGAGAAAGGGAAAGAGAGGAAGAAAGGGATATCAGACCCAGGGACACAACTTTCTGTCAACTGCTGTATTCCTTCAGCAGGTAGGTACAGAGACTTAACTTTCTCCTGCAGACTGATGCAGCCCTGAATTCTATTTCCCTCCAAAAGAGGGTGGAGAGAGAGATGGGTAGAAGACTGGTCTGAGGAGACAGAGGTGAGATGGTATAGAAGAACAGTTAGGAGCACGTGTGCTGGAATCTTGCATTAATGCAAGTGAGTATTCTACTCACTCAGTAGACTGAGTATCTGCAATTTGCCAGATATCTGAGTATCTTCTAGGTGTTCAGGAAGAAAACAGAAAAAGTTCTAACCTTAAAGACCTTCATTCAGGCTTGACTCAACTCTAGCTTCCACCACTTGATAAATGGGTTGCCTTGGATTAGTTACTTAATCTCCCTATGTTTCATTTTCCTCATCTGTAAAATGTGAACAAAACTTAAGAGTTCCTATACGAGGACTAAATAAGAGCATCTCCGAAATGTACCTTATAGAGAATCTGGTACCTAGTAGGTATTGAACAAATGAAAATCTTTCGAGTGGCAACTCAAATTCCAAAACTGATTTCTTCATATGTAGAAACTACAATCCTAGAGGCCAGAAACCAACCATCTAAAGGGTATTATTTGGGTAGTTGGAGGGTGTGTACTTAAGGTCCTCAGAAAACTTAGGAGGGCTGCAGTATCACCCTTCCTATAAGGAAAGGGTACCTCTGGCACCTGGATATTGTGATCTTGTCCCAAAATTTTGGAGAATAAAACTACACAAAGCACTATTATTGTCTTAAGCAATATAGTCCTTCAAGGCAGGCTTTCCCATGCACCCCCGTTTTACAATTATGCCAAAAGCATAAGACTACTTTAAAGAACATATTCAGAGCTAACTATCTGTAATTGGCTATCTGTTCACATGATTTCTCATGAGTTTGGCTTGACCTTTCTGAGAAACAGAGACAGTCTTCAAAATAGGATTATAAGAGGAAGGAAAAATGGATTGGAATCTTTCTCTTTATTTGCCACCTCATTTTGGTGACCTCTCTACAGTTAGGACCACTCAAGGAAAGTGAAAGATAGAGGAAGAAGGAAAAGGAGAGTCCTGTCAGTTGATTTTGCTATATGTTGCCAGCCTGGTAAAAGCATTTGGAGGTAGAGAGTATTTTAAATATGGAATGAAAAAAGTTAGGGAATTAGTTGTGTGGATTTAATTTCCTCAGACTACTCTCATTGTTTCCCAGCAGGAAATATTCATGAGTCAACTCGCCAGAATTGTAGTTATTATTCAAGAGTTGTGGGCTTATAAGGAGGTTTGATAGCATGGCAAATCTCATGGACTTAGACTGTTCTTCAAGTTGAAGGGCAAAATGATGTCTGAAGGGACTAAACACAATTTGGCTTTAGAATGTGTGAGGAAGACCTGAAAGCTCCCACATGGAAGTGAAATTCATTACTGGCAAGATCAGTGACAGGACACTCCAGAGGATGGAGCTACAAAGAATTCAGAGCCCTGTGGTTAGCTCCATGGCCTAGTTTGATCTTAAAGTCATTGCCTTGGATAATCCTTTCAAATCTGTTCCTGTGCTTACTCAACATGACTGAGCCACTCAACATGACTGAGCTTTCTCTTGCAGGTTCTTTTGCACTGACCTGTAAGAGGATACCTTCAGCAAACACAGATATCAAGTCAAATCATCCAACAGATGTCCTTTCAAAGAAATTGGGGCAGAACCAACTATATGGAGAAGTCATAAACAAGGAAATAACTCAACCCAAGGATTTTCTGTGCTGTGCTAAGTCACTTCAGTTGTGTTCGACTCTTTGTGAACCCATGGACTATAGCCCACCAGTCTCCTCTGTCCATGGGGATTCTCCAGGAAAGAATACTGGAGTGGTTGCTACACCCTCCTCCAGGGGATCTTACTGACTCAGGGATCAAAAATGCATCTCTTGTTTCTCCTGCATTGCCAGCAGGTTCTTTACCACTAGCACCACCTGGGAAGTCCTAAGGATTTTCTACGGATTGGCATAGTTCTTTGTACAGAGAATTCAGTCTCCTGGGTGGAACACAAGGTAGCCAGAGGGATAAACATCAGAAAACTGAATTTTGCCCCAACTGGGGGTTATGTTGTCTTAATGGAGAGGCAGAGGACATTTTAGAACCTAAACTCTTCACCATCTCAATAAAGTAGTCCTCACTAGCACAGCTCTAAGAAGTAACACATTTTAATAACTAGGATAAAAGGATATAGGAGAGAGAAACCCAGCATCCAACCCCATTTCAGTTAGCGACTTTCTCACCATATTGGGAGGGGATGGGCCAGAATCATCTGATCTGTTTCTGATCTCCCTCTTCATTGGCATCAGAGATTTACTGCAGGAAAATTAATATCTAACTGGGCTCCAAGTGCTAAACAAGAGCATTCCACGTTGATTCCAGGCCACCAAGAGGTTTGGGGTCACTGAGTCACAGACTATAAATTTGAACACTTGATGATTTTTGCAGGTGACTGGGTGAACAAAGGAAAACCCAGGAGATACATAAAGGTGGAAACTAGACATTTCTCATTTGAATTGTTTGCTCATTCTGATGGTTCTGAAAATAAAAGAATTGCAGGCCCTTCAAATGAAGTTACTGTGTTTAGGTTCCTGGCCCAATGAGAAGCAGAAGTGCACTCACTAATATTTACAAGGTCCTTCAAGGCACCAGGGAAAATGGCCAGTTTATTGGCCAGATGTTTGTTGATATTGCTTTTACTTCAAATGGGCAGGCAAGAAATCCTATTTAAAAAAATAAAGATACCAATTCAACACTGCCTTGTTGTTGTTTTTCAGTCATTAAGTCATGTCTGACCCTTTGAGACCCCATGGACTGCAGCATGCCAGGCCTCCCTGTCCCTTACTATCTCAGGGAGCTTGCCCAAGATCATGTCTACTTCTTATTTAATTTTATTCTAGCAATAGCCTAGGATTTATTGGAAATTTCCAATGTATCAGGCACTATACAAGGAATATAATAATCAATAAAGGTACTATCCCTTACTTCAAGGAATCTTCATTATTTCAACAATTTTATTATGCCAATTTTATTACATATTTTTATGATGAAATTACCAGAGCATTTACCTCAAACCAAACGTTTGGATTAAGCTTCATAAATGAGATCTTGGTTGAGATGAGTCTCACAGGACATAGGAAGACATGTACACATTTATTAAATGTTGGTGGCCTTTTAAGAAGAGAAAAAGAAAGAAATTAATTTCTCTTTCTGTCTCCACCGTGTTAGGACATAGCAAAAAGGTGGCCATCTACAAGCCAGGAAGACAACGCTCCTTGATACTAACCTTGACAAATACCCTGATCTCTGACTTTCAGCCTTCAGAACTGTAGAAAAATTTACTTCTGTTGTCAAGCCACCTAGTCTATGGTGTTTTGTTATGGCAGCCCAAGCAGACTAATAAAGCAGTTAGGACCATTTTATAAGAACAGCATATGAAATTTAAAGGAGTCATTAGGACATGTAATGAGTAAAGTTGGTAATTTGAGGGGTTTACTTGCTAAATCTAGTATATAGCTTCAACCACTATGGGATATAGTGTACTTTCCCACAGGTATGCCATAGCCTACTACTCCAAGAGAATCAAGGAATAAAGAATAAGCAGATTTAGGGGGTGCAATAGTCCTATACTGGGCAGTGGACATGACTTCTGTGGTTAGGGGTGTGGAATAACATCTGTCACTGACACGTAAGTGCTAATCCTGCTCATTCTCTTCCTTGGAAATGGACATAGATGTTTCCATAACAGGTGTGTTTGCTTCCCCAATGTGGTTTGCCCAGGCACATCACATGTAGTCTTCTCAATGAATCAACTTTTCAATTCAGGCAAAGTAAGTAGAAAAATGAGACAACTACCCAGATAATCTGATTCTGAGAGGAAATAATATTAATTGGTAGTTTCTATGGTATTTCAACGTATATTTGACAGGGAGTAGGGAAATTACCAAATGGTGGAGACTACATGTTTCTCAAACTTTTTATAATTTTTGAATTTTTTCACTTCTTTTTCTGTTATTCATGAGTATTAGAATCAAGACAAGATAATGTACAGTATATTCCCTGAGCAACAGATTGGCAGGTTGAGCCTTGAAAGTTGAAGCCGTATGGTGGCAATGAACATATTATTGGAGCTCAAACTTGACTACTAAATTCACAATCTTAGATCAAATCCTTAATCTATCACTCTCATCTGCCAATAATTTTTATCACCTAATTTCTTTCATCAATTTATTAAAAAAAAAAGTACTAGCAATTGTTTAATTTTAAATCATGTGATTTGCATTTCTAGTATATAACTAGTTTGTGGTTCATCAGAAAATTCCTAGATTTTTGTCTTTCAATCATCATGTATCAGAATATAATTTCCCACAAACCTTGAATTTAAAATGCACACACATTTCCAGACCCCTTTTTAAAGAGTAACATAGGATGGTAAAAAGTCATACATAACCCTAATAAAAGCTAGGACACCTCATAATTCTATCTAAGCCTAGAAAGACATTCAAAGAGAAATAGTCTGCCCGAATTAAAAGCAATTCAAAGTTTTACTTATATTTTATGAAGAATTATGAGTATAGGGATATATACCCTTAATGCAGAAAAAACATCTTAAAGTCTTTCCAGTAATGGACTAGACCTGTATCTTGCTTATGAATTATTTCTGTATTCATCTGACCCAAGAATCTCACTTTTCACAGATGTAACAAGTATGATTTTTAGGTATTATTTTAAGATAACAATCTATCTAGGTGTCCAGAGAAGCTGCTGTCCAAGACAACACACCTCCATTCTTAAGGAAATGTTTTAAGATCTCACTGCCAGATCATGTGAATTGACATTTCCTCTCTATAAAAGCAGCATCCTAGATACCTATCATTTAAATAAATGAGATAGATATTTTTTAATACAAAGGATAATATGCCAGAATTGAAAAAAAAAATTGTATGTTTCAGTCACAGGAAAATTCACTTATTAGACTAATGGGTCCCCTGGTGGCTCAGACAGTAAAGAATCTGCCTGCAGTACAGGACACCCAGGTTCAATCCCTGGATGGGGAAGATCCCCTGGAGAAAGAAATGGCAACCCACTCAAGTATTCTTGCCTGGAGAATTCTATGTTCAGAGGAACCTGGTTGGGCTACAGTCCATGGGGTTGCAGAATTGGACATGAATGAGTCATCTCACACGCTAGTAAAGTAATGCTCAAAATCCTCCAAGCCAGGCTTTAGCAATACGTGAACCATGAACTTCCAGATGTTCAAGTTGGTTTTAGAAAAGGCAGAGGAACCAGNTGGCTGACTTTATTTTGGGGGGCTCCAAAATCACTGCAGATGGTGATTGCAGCCATGAAATTAAAAGATGCTTACTCCTTGGAAGGAAAGTTATGTCCAACCTAGACAGCATATTAAAAAGCAGGTCAACAAAGGTCCGTCTAATCAAGGCTATGGTTTTTCCATTAGTCATGTATGGATGTGAGAGTTGGACTATAAAGAAAGCTGAGCACCGAAAAATTGGTGCTTTTGAACTGTGGTGTTGGAGAAGACTCTTGAGAGTGCCCTGGACTGCAAGGAGATCCAATCAGTCCATCCTAAAGGAGATCAGTCCTGGGTGTTCATTGGAGGACTGATGCTAAAGCTGAAACTCCAATACTTTGGCCACCTGATGCAAAGAACTGACTCATTTGAAATGACCCTGATGCTGGGAAAGATTGAAGGCAGGAGGAGAAGGGGAAGACAGAGGATGGGATGGTTGGATGGCATCACCAACTCAATGGACATGAGTTTGGGTAAACTCCAGGAGTTGGTGTTGGACAGGGAGGCCTGGAGTGCTATGGTTCATGGGGTTGCAGAGAGTCAGACACGACTAAGGGACTAAGCGACTGAACTGAAATGAACTGAACTGAACTGAACTGAACTAAGTGATTAACACTTTCACTTTACTTTCAGTGTCTATTAAACCTAATCTGATGGCTGCTACCAGTATCTTGGATATTGAGGGAGGTTGGTCTTATCATTAGATAAGTTATTATCATTGATAACATAAAATAACTTATCATTAGAGCCATAGTGTTTACTTGCTTGTTCGCCCATATATTGCCTGCCTTTTTTCCACTACCAGATTGTAAACATGAAAGTAGGGACATACTCTGTCTTTTCACCTCTATACTTATAGCTCCCAATATAGGCTTGTCAAGAATAGATTCTCTAAAAGTGATTTGAATGATTAAGTAAATGAATAAATGAACAATTTTTTGTAAAAATGCCCCCTCCCCTTTCCTCTGCATTAGCCTGTCAACTGGTGCTGGCTCATTGCACCAATGACAAACATTAAGCAAAAAGTTAGGGACTCAGATATCAAAAAGTGGACATTAGAAGAAATAATAAACTAAGATGACACATATCTTCTGAGGGTAGGATTCTAGGGAAACATATGTATGCTTTTAACATCTTCTGTCAATAGTTTGAAATTAAGTACTTTCTCCAATTATAAAAGCAAATTTACCAGCCATTCTGTGCACTCAAAATGGCTAACACCAAGCTTATATGTGTGTGCATTTGGAAAAAGGTGTTGTAGAAAGGCATTTAAATCAACTCTTGGACATAGTTTTTATCTTAAAAGAATCTAAGGTAATTATAAAACTAAATTCTTCCCCATGAAAATAATTAGCGTCAGTAAGAAATACATAGGTATCTACTGACTAGATATTATATGCAAAATACTGTGTAAATTTTAGGTAATGTACTAGTCTGCTAGAGCTGCTATAACAGAACACCACAGTCTAGGTGGCTTGTGAACTGTAGTAATTAATTTTCTCACCATATTGAAGGCTGGAAGTTCAAGTTCTTGGTGATACAGAACTGGTTTCTGATGAGGCCTCCTCCTGGTTTACAGATCGCTGTCATCTTGATGTGCCCTCACGTGACATTTCCTCTCTGTGCAGAGAGAAAAAGAGAGTTTTTGTTTCCTTTCCTCCTCTTTTAAAAACACCTATCAGTCCCATGGGATTAGGTCCCCACCCTCATCACCTCATTTAAACTTATTACCTCCTTAAAGAATTTGTCTCCAAGTACAGTCCATTGGGGCTTAGGGTTGCAACATACTGATTTGCTGAGAGGGAAGAATTCAATCCATAGCAGGAAATAAACAAGATAACGGGCTTCTCTGATGGCTCAGATGATAAAGAATCTGCCTGCGATGTAGGAGACTCGGGTTCAATTCTTGGGTCAGGAAGATTCCCTGGATAAAGGGATGGCTACTCATTCCAGTATTTTTGCCTGGAGAATTCCATGGACATAGGAGCCTGGTGGGCTATAGTCCATGGGTCCACAAAGAGTTGGACATGACTGAGCCACTAACACTTTCATCTGATCAGATGATGAGCAAGGTAATATGAGTAAGACCCTGATTTTCTCTAGGAGTTCACAATCTAGAGGTGGGTTGGGAGTGGAAACCAATATAAACACCCATGCATAACTGGAGCACCCAACCTGATAGAAATTCCCAGACAGAAGGGAAAACCAGTTGCCCTGAGACTGACAAAAGGGAAGCTAATAAATTTTTTCTGAAATGACTGAGAAAATCTTCTGAAAGATATATTAGGTGATACCACAAATATATGATCCTAGGCTAGCTTCCTTCTGAGGCAGATTTCAAAAACAGCAATCTGTTAAAATCTAACCACATGAAAACAGAATGAAATCTTAGAAAGAAAACAAGATAAAATATATGAAAATAAAGTTTAAAAAACCTAAAAAGTTTCCTATTTGGGAAACTCAATAGTTGGCCATATGTGAAGGTGGTTGTTTTGCTTATCAATATCTGATGCATAGTTCTCAGCAGCAGGGTCTCAGGCACAGTGAAAAATGTCTAAAGCAAGATTAGCAAGAATATCTCAAAATCTAAATCTATATGCAACAGTCTGTGTATTTAACTACACCCGCATATTGCAGAACTCTCTTGATCGTTATTATTTATTTTTTTACACCAAAAAAATTTGTGTGACCTGATTTATTGTGATATTTGTGGTGTTTTTAAAAAATTAATTATTTTCTATTGAAGGATAATTGCTTTACAGAATTTTGCTGCTTTCTGTTTAAGCTCAACATGAATCAGCCATAGGTATACATATATCCTCTCCCTTTTGAAACTCTCTCCCATCTCCTGCCCCATCCCACCCCTCTAGGCTGATACAGAGCCCCTGTTTGAGTTTCCTGAGCCATACAGTAAATTCCCGTTGGCTACCTATTTTACATACGGTAATGTAAGTTTCCATGTTATTCTTTCCATGCATCTCACCCTCTCCTCCCCTCTCCCAATGTCCATAAGTCTATTCCCTAATTTATTAACCAGAACAAGGGGACACATTTTTAGATAGGTGACTAACTTCTACTGATAAAAGCACATCCTATGGCTTTAAAAAAGAAAGTAAAAATCCGTTTTCTTGTGTGGCTTATTTTCCCTTAAGAAAAGAGAGAGAAACTCTGATTGCCAACATGGTACTACAGAGAGGCTCCTTTTTAGGATTTCTAAGACATGGAATTTCCCTAATACTGGGGGTTCCTAACAAGACTTGATGAGGTATATTGAGGGGAACTGGCAATTTTATATTAACATATCTAAGGTCAGTTCATCTGACTTCAGGTAATTTTTAGCTAATCAGCAGGACATAATACTTTCACAAAAATGGACTGATTCTGATTTCAATTAGAAGTTTTGCAGTTTGCTTTGAAATCACTGCAACAGTATCTTTCAAAGCTCATTTCTTACCACACTGCCATTATCTGTTTACTCATTATCTCCCCTGCTAGACTGTAAGCTCTTTGATGACAGGCACTGCCTTGTCCACTGCCTTCTCTCTACCACTTCTCAGGGACAATACCTTATTGAAGGTTTTGGACCTTCTCCATCAAGTTTCCTGTTAGTCATTTTCCACAACTGTTTTTTGCTGTTGTTTTAATTTGAAAAACAAATCTATCCAGCATCTGGACTGGAAATTGGTATACAACGAATATGCAGTCGCTCAAAAATACAAATTGACTATAGAAAGTAAAACTGGATAAATCTTTACAGGTCCTGAACAAGCCCTGTCACTGAAGGGGCGAATTACATTCTTTCTTGTACTGAAAGTTCTTAATAGTTGGTGTTGGCTAATGGAATCCTCACATTCATTTCTAATTGATACCCTGAGGTTCTGAAAGTATCCCTGAGTAAACTAGATAATCTCCAACACCATTCTTCTCCATCTTCCTTTTAGGTGAGTATGACTTCTTAAAAATAATTACTACATTTCAGAGCATCTCTTGAAACTTGGTATGACTGGCTTCACAACTAAAACTCTTGTCAATAAAGTATTTGTGGAAACAATGCATGCAGTTTCCAGGAAGTCTTACAAGGAGGGGTTGCTCTTCTAATCCTTGTCCTGCTCCTTCTAGCTGACTGGAATATTGACATAATAGCTGGAGTTCCAGCAGTTATTTTGTGTCATGAGGTACATTGAGAAAAGAAGCCATGTCCACTGAAACAATAAGATAGAAGCCTGGATCACTGATGCAAAGGGTCACTGACTATATCACTCCCCAATACCAGACTCCTTTGAAGTGTGAAGTTGCTCAGTCGTGTCCAACTCTGTGATCCCGTGGACTGTAGCCCACCAGACTCCTCCATCCATGGGATTCTCCAGGCAAGAATACTGGAGTGGGTTGCCATTTCCTTCTCCAGGGGATCTTCCCGACCCAGGGATCGAAACCAGGTCTCCCACATTGCAGGCAAATGCTTTAACCTCTGAGCCACCAGAGAAGCCAGACTCCTTTAATATAAAACAAATAACTGCAATCTTGTATAAGTTGCATTATTTTACTTTGTTTTGTTTTGATACTTATGGCCAAATGTAATCTCTATTTTTATTCTGTGACTGAGGGAGTAGTTTCTTGGTCTGATATTACTCAGTAAGTATTAAAGAATTTATAGTAGCTTCATAAGAGTTTTGAAGAGGCATCTATTTAAGGGCTATGCAAAATATTATCCATGGACCAGAGACAATCCACATGCTATCTGTTATGGGTCCATGACAAGATAACTAGAGAATTTGAGAATAAGCATTTAGAAACTTTTGCAGCAATTTCACACTACCTGACTCATCTCATTGAATGAGGTGAACATCTTTTAACTTTCCTAATGAGTTACATATAATCCAAACTGCCTGCTAATCATGGACTTTATGATATGTCACTTTAAAGGTTATCTTGTCAGCTGTCAGCAAAAGTGTTTTAAAACTCTGAGACTGTATAAGCACATATTCATAAGTGCATATATCTACAGAGACATAGATAGATAGACTGATAGACATCTGAGAAAGTACAAGCATATAAATACATATATAAGCATATATACAAATGAAATTTGTATATTGGAGAATTGAAATTGGTATTACTAATTTTAACATTAATTTACAGATAAAAACAAGCTTTACTGATCATTTTTGTGAAGAAAATAGTAACTTCTTATGATCACAGCTGCTGTACTAACTAAATGATGACAATAAATAAGATTTCATAGAAATAAAGGCTGAAAAGTTTTATACTTTTATTTGAAAGCATGATTCTTCATATGCTGAGTTCAGTTTTGCAGCCATAATTGATGTTTAAGAGTTAAATAACAGTGTGTTATCTGAGGAGGTGGGTTGTCTAATCAATCAATGAAATTATTAAGACCTAAGAAATATTTACACCCAAATCATAAAAAGTAAATTCAAAGCCAGAATTATTTTTTTTTAAAGTACAGGATCAAACAGCTACCAGAAATAAATGTGCTTTGGGGGCTTCTTATAAAAGTAACACATTGAGTTGCTAAGTTGAAAAACCCACACATTTGTTGAAATATTAATGAGAGACTGCAAATCAAAGATGCTTGCTTGGAAATGTTGAAAGGATCTTGTCAGACAAGGTAGTTCAACTGCCTTTTCCCAGGGATACCAAAGTTCAATGTTATGCAGGATCAAATATAAAACAAACAATGCTAGTAATATAATTTTTACTGCAACTAGACAGATGTACAACTATTTCTAAAATAGCAATTCTTTTCATGTACATGCAGTTTGAACATGATGGTGACATAAGGAAGAATTGTTTCTTAAGTGTTCTTTACAAAACACAACCAGTTCTACACTATATAGAACCACGAAGGGTCAATCAACAAATATGATTTAGTTTAAATTTTAGGAGTACTCTCTGATGGATTTATGGAAAGCATTTTGGAAGAGCTGTGCCACAGTGTAAATCAATGAAGTGCTTCTTTCATCAAGAAAATCTTATTACAAAAATGTTGACTAAACTCAAAAGTTCACTTAGCGTAAGTTACATTAAAGCTAATGCACTAAATTTGAGAGCCTTCTTTTTGCTTGTAATGGTACAGAAGCTGATTATAAACAACTACTGTGATATGGTTACTGAGGAAAAACATTCAATCAGAAATATTTGAACTACTGGACACGCCTATCGTGTTTCTGCACAATAAGAACTAGTTTCAACATCTCAGAGATATGAGTTAGTTTGTTATGCTAATTTGTTTTTTATCATTTGCTGTTTTAAAGAACTTAATACTTTCACTCAAATAAATGATGTGACATTTTTTCAATGATAGACAAGATCAAAAGGCAAAAAAAAATGTTAGATTAGACAGAGTTTCTCCAGAGTTTTGATAGTCCTGTAATTTAACAATAACTAATAATAAAGCTCCAAAATCACTGCATATGGTGATTGTAGCCATGAAATTAAAAGACGCTTACTCCTTGGAAGGAAACTTATGACCAACTTAAACAGCATATGAAAAACCAGAGACATCACTTTGTCAACAAAGGTCCGTCTAGTCAAGGCTATGGTTTTTCCAGTAGTCATGTATGGAATGTGAGAGTTGGACTATAAAGAAAGCTGAGCAC